AAGAAGATATGGAAAACAACTCTATTATTTAGATTACTGGGCCCCAGTTCTGCTTTGTAGTACCCTTGCAAGTCCCCTTGATATTTATGACTTTTTTTTACGTTCCGCCGCTGATAATCAATGTGTGGGCCACGACTTTATACAATAAGCTTCCTTCCTGCTCTCGGAAGCTGGAATCTCCGAGTCGTAATCCCTCACCTGCTCTCAAAGACGCGAACAATGGGAAAAGTTTAAAGATACTCTCGGTGTCATTTTTTTCCCCTGTAAACCGCATTACCACTCTCTTATCTTTAAACCATGTTTTTGGAGTACTTTTGTTATACTCTCCCAGATCTGTAAGATTTAAGGAAATGGAAAACTCACTAGGTCAGGATATATACATTCCAAGGCCCTTTTTTGAGTTTTTTTTCTTCACAGATGGGGACACACTAACACGACCCTCTTGGCATTTTTTTCACCCATGTGTCATGTTACACTGCGACCTAATGTTCCAGTTTGCCTGCTGTGGTGCCTACAAACTGTTTCAATCCAAAGAGGGTGTAACTCTTTAGAAGCTTTTCTGTAGTGTTGAATTCCACTGGCATGTGCCATAGTCTGGGAGTTGCAGTATGAGCAACAGCGTCCACGTTTGTGTAAGTGTGTGTGTGTATGAAAATGACTCATGTCAAGGCTGATGTAACTAGACAATTTGTAGAACTGTAATCTGTAATCGGCACTGGTGGAGTGGAATGTATTTCACCGTCTTTCAATGGAGACTTAGATGTCATATAATCATGCTGAACAAATCAATTACAGCTGTTCCACCATGAAAAATTGACAAAAACTTAAACACAATTGCAGTAAAGTGCAGAAAAATCTAATTATGGGAACTGGGAGATCTGTTGTCATGTAGTTTGACAGGTTAGAAGTACACACCTGTTGTCTGAAAAGCCTTCTCTTTCATTACGCTGTCTGGATGGAGTTACCCTGTAGTTGTTAGATGAAATATACAGTTAAAAGAAGTCACTGATTTGGTTGTTGAACTTATGTTTCTCCAAAAAAAAACACAGCTTTAGATCCTACAATCTGGTTAAACTCCTATCTTTCAGATCAGCGAACGCACCAGGTTAGTGTCCCGCAAACTCACACCGCAGTACCCAGATCAGTGCCCAGTCATCTGGCTGTAATTGCAGAGCCAGTAGCAGTGAAACACAATGAGATCGTTCCTCAGTGTCAGAATACTTCGATAGGATCACCAGACTAAACTAGCGAACTCCCACTGGAGGCTCTTGTGCAAAAGCTTCCAGATTTGTTCATGATTTAGGAGCGACTACACCTCTGGGGTCTTTTTCCACAAACCTTCTTTGTACCCAAATGTCAGAGGCAAAATCTAATCTTGACTATTTATGTTTTTGCACACTGGAATGTTCTGCAACAAGATGTTGTGTTGTGTTGTATTTTCTAGCAATCTCAGTGTTTCTCACACATCCAGGGATCAGTATGGGTCTCACTCTCACCTTTGACACAGATTTTGTGTGGGGTTTCACTCCCACCACCTTGGGAAGACCTGCCTGCTGGGTTTGAGTGACTACTCTAAATTACCCCCCACCCCTGGTCTTTAATCTAGACCTATAATTAAGTCAACTGAGCTCCCCACCTTGGTACATTTGCATGAGTGCGGGGGTTTTGGGGTCTCCTTCCTCATATGACCAATAGAGACCATGTGAACAGCTGCTGAGAACTTTAAACATAACCAGTTTCATCTGAAAATCATATAACATAATCACATACAAAATACCATACAGCCAACAGCCATGTCACCCTGCAACTCCCAACTGGCAGCCCCCTGAAGCTCAGCAGGTGTGAGCCTGGTCAGTACCTGGATGGAGACCTCTTGGGAAAAACTAAGGTTGCTGCTGGTGTTAGTGGGGCCAGTAGGGGGTGCTCACCCTGCAGTCTGTGCGAGTCCTAATGCCCCAGTGAAAGCACCATCCTTTGGATGAGACATAAAACCAAGGTCCCGACTCTCTGTGTTCATTCAAAATCCCAGGGCGTTTCTCGAAAAGAGTAGGGGTGTAACCCCGGCGTCCTGGGCAAATTTCCCCCTGGCCTTTACCAGCCATGGCCTCCTAATAACCCCCATCTCTGAACTGGCTTCACCACTCTGCTCTCCTCCCCACTGAGAGCTGGTGTGTGGGGAGCGGACTGGCGCATCACCAAGGTGGGGCTGCACACTGGTGGTGGTGGAGGGGAGTCCCCATTACCTCTAAAGTGCCTTGAGTGGAGTGTCCAGAAAAGTGCTGTATAAGTGTAAGCAATTATTATTATTAAAAATGCCAATAATGAACAAATTACATAAAGCCCTATGGAGTGTCTCCTACAGATTCATACACCTTTTCACCTGTGAGCTACACAATGAACAACAGCATGTGAAGCAGAAGAGGGCAGAGTCTCATTAACTTATTTTGTTTTATTGTGACATGATCTTGTTTTCCCAGTGGGCTTCTTTTCAGTGCTTCCTAGATAAACTGGTTTACTTATGACTGAGTAATGGATACTCTACATTAAACAATAGTTACTTAACCTCACCTAGGCCTTGTTTGGAGTTTGTTTCCATTTTCTGTCCTGGAGGATTTGTGCACTTCCGAGCTCATTATATCCCACATTGGAATGAGAATGCATCTCTTTATGGGAGATGGGAGACTTTGCTCCTGTGCCAGTGCCCTCACAAAGAAAGTTCCCAAAGCTGTGAAGAAGTCGGGAACTTTCACACATTCAGTCAGATTTCACAGCTCATTCTTCAGAGATTGATGAATTCCCTGGGGACTCCATTCAGTAACCTACCCCTTAAGCAAAACAAATGTTAGGATATGTAGTTAAAAGCATATCATTTTAATCAGGGGACGGGCTGTTACAATTGTACAACATACTAGTAAGCCCTCATTTAGAATACTGTGTACAATTATGGTCACAATGTTCTACAAGGGATATTGCTGGTCTGGAATGAGTCCAAAGAAGAGCAACTAGATACATTCTGGGTTTTAAAGGAATGTCCTACACTGCCAGTCTGAAGGAACAGAACCTTTTTTAGTCCTGAACGGAAAATATAACGAGAGGACCCGATGCAGATATTCCAAATCCTCAAAGGCATTGATGAAGGCAACGATGTGGATTTCTTCAGAATCGACACAGCTGTGTGAAACACAAACCAAGGAAAACAGGTGATAACTTAGTTTTTCAAAGACCTCCTGGGAACAACTAAGGTTGCTGCTGGAAGAGGTGTTAGTGTGATCAGCAGGGGGCGCTCACCCTGCGGTCTGTGTGGGTCCTAATGTCCCAGTATAGTGACGGGGACACTATACTGTAAACAGGCGCCGTCCTTCGGATGAGACGTAAAACCGAGGTCCTGACTCTCTGTGGTCATTAAAAATCCCAGCTTCTAGAAAAGAGTAGGGGTGTAACCCCGGTGTCCTGGCCAAATTTACCATTGGCCCTTACCAATCATGGCCTCCTAATAATCCCCATCTCTGAATTGGCTTTATTACTCTGCTCTCCTCCCCACTGAGAGCTGGTGTGTGGTGAGCGTTCTGGCGCACTATGGCTGCCGTCCCATCATCCAGGTGGGGCTGCACACTGGTGGTGGTGGAGGGGAGTCCCCATTACCTGTAAAGCGCTTTGAGTGGAGTGTCCAGAAAAGCGCTATATAAGTGTAAGCAATTATTAATTATTATTATTAACTACTTGGAAGTGCATTTAGAACAGGAGAGTAGAAGGCACCTTTTTTCACTCAAAGGGTGGTGGGAGTCTGGGATAAGCTACCCAGCCACGTTGCTAAAATCAGTACCTTTGGTTTCGTTCCACAAACCGTTGAATGCGTTATTTGGTTTAAGTAGATATGAACTACCAAATGCCCTCCTTTCATTTCTAACCTTTCTGAAGTGGTGAAACTTGAAAACAGCACTACAGTTGAATTACAGGGTCCAGTAGAAAAAATTTGCTTTTTGAATGTCCAGCAAAAAATGCGTATCCTCTTGTGTTAACTTGTTATTGATGGCAACACCAGTGCAGGATCACAGAGGGGATTGACTCTGGAATTTAAGTGAATGGGGATATTAACTGGAATAACAGCATGAAAAAGTGCCACTTTTTAACAGAACATGGGTCAGTTGTGCTGCCAGGCTGCATAAAACCTCTGTGATCTTTTGACAAGATGTCAATGCAGCAAAATCCAGAAGGAGTGTGTTCTGAGCTGTGACCAGTCACAGGTCACAAGGGACTCTCTGCCCAGTTCTTGACAGCCCGTGAATAAAACCACACTCCTTTAAAACTCAGACAGCAGTGACATAAGGGCCTGCTGTTAACTTGGTTATTGGCCATTGTCGATCCTCTTCTTGTTTTTCTTGCTGATTAAGTGACGTGTGAGATGTCAGTCTTTTCTTTTTCAATCCAAAGCAGAAACCTGTTCAAACAGGGAAAACACAACTTAACCTCCGATCCAGACTTCCAAGAAGAATAATTCACACATCACAGTTCTAGATCTCCTTAAAACTAGAAGGAAACCTCTTTTAGTTTGTCACACACAGTTTGGTACTGAAGCCTCTTTGTTAAATGGTTTGTTTGCCAAAACTCATCAAAAGCAGTAAAATGTTCCCACCTATGATACTAAACCATATAGCATGTCTGTTTTTTCCCCCCATCTTCATCCTGATCTGAACCGATTCTTTCTGAAGTAGATTGTCAAATAGAAACCTTTATTTCTTCATTGAAATCAGTGGTCCAGTAATGTCCACTAAGTGGACGCAGAAAACAATGGAAAGACAAGTGAAATGTTAGCTGACGCAAGAGGGCAGACGTTTGATTAGAACATTACAGGTAAGTCACAAGTCAGGCTAGAAGAAATTGCTTTCACGTGGTTTCCTGGAAGGAATTTGGGGTGGGAAAATCCTGTCTCATCCCGGCGGAAGAGCTGGATAACCTTTGCCCCTCGCTGATCTCTCCCATCCGTGTCCCTCTTCCGCCAGCAGCTATCGATTGTGTAGTGGGTTCCTGGGGTCCCTGGTCCGAGTGCGGCTCCCTGTGTGGGGTGGGAAGCAAGGAGAGGACCCGCCAGGTGTCCGTGCCTCCGCGCAATGGAGGGGCGCCCTGCCCCGACTTAAAGCAGCGACGGGGCTGTTTTGGGCACAACGCCGTCTGCAACTCTGCCAGAGGTAATCCCGTCTCCTCCCCTGTGTGTGCCAGCTGAACAGCTGAACCAAGTAGTGTTCGCTAGTACTGGGGAACTGCTTAATCCTAACTCTTCTGCTCCGAGCTCCCCTGTAACTCGGGCTTCCTAAAAAAAGTAGAATTTCCCTAATTTGTGGAAATCTTGGGAGCAAGGAAACCCAGATTGATCAATAAGGATCGTCTCAGCATTCCCAGTATTCAGGTAAATATTCATGTTCAGGTGACTATTCTACTTTACTCTTGTTTTACTGCAATGCTTTCATCAATGCAGTGTGTTTTCCTGGAGTCCCTCTTCTGCAATATTTTAAGGGGAACTGCAGTCCTAATTACTAAGACTGGTTATTAAATCTCGGTGACAAAATAAATTGACGTTATTGCAAAATTGAACAAATTTCGAAATAAGTTCAGAACTTTGCGAAAGTACCGTGTGGCAGACCAAGTGACTTAAACCTGAGTAGGCTGTTGTGCAATGGCTCAAATCTAACACACACCCCCCACCTTAAAATTCAAAACCTCAAACCTTACATATCAGTCCGGATATATTCAATATTTCTGTTTAATTTTATTAAACATGGGTGTTAAAGAACAAAGGTGAGAGCAAATTATGACATGTTAGTGACCCTTCCTGCTCACTAGTCTCTGTAAGTGAAGGAGAAACATGGTCTCCTTACAACGTTCATCCTTTTTTGTCTTTTTGAACTCATGTTCACTGTCGAGCAGTTGGCTTTTCAGAACAGAGTGCCCACACACAAAACGGCAGATCAGATCAGCAGAAAGTCCAACTGTTTCTTTTTCCAAGGGGTATTCAACCAGCCAAGAGATGGGTAATAAACACAACACTGCTTCTGGTCCCATCGACAAGATTCTCATGGAGATTCAACATGACGTACGATCAAATAAGAAAGGATTGTGCAGCAGACATTTCACTACAGAAATGTTCTAATGTGATCTGCATGCAGAGTTAACAAGTAGTATTTGTCGACAAAGCTGTCTCAATATGTTGATTCGATATGTCTATATGTTAAATTCAGTTCAAGTGCACACATTCAGATCAGCTCTTCCAGCGATGGCACAGGCTATGGTGCAGCCAGTCCTCCAACAAAAGTGCCATAATTTTTCTTGCAAATGTGACTTGCTATAAAATAGCCACCAATGTAAATGACAGAGCACTTTTGCAAAACTTGAAAACAAATGTTTGGATTTTAGTTGTTTGGCAGGTTGCTCTTTTTTTGCATTAATTAAAGTATCTAAAACACATCTTGTCTTGTACTGTATGTGTTGAAAATATTCATGAAAATATTTAATATTAATATAGTAGCGAAATTCACTTGGTCTAAAGCATTTTTGCTATGTAATAGGGCTATTTTCAAGTCACCGGACGTTTTGTTGCCTCATTCTGAATCACAGACAATGATGGCACTGCGCAGCTCTCGAAATTTAGTCTATTTTCCGTAGACTAATCCATATGTTTCCGTATACTTGGTAGTGTCATTGTGGTTTGAGATGCACTCATCACTGCCAATTCATTATAACCCCGAACTGTAAAAATAACATTGCAGTTCCCCTTTAATAAGGCTCTGCTCTCTTCTGGTTCTTTCAGGATTTGTTATTGAGTCTGTTTTAATCCTTGTGGAGTTCTTGATCACAGTTGGAACAAGGAGAACATCTGCAGCAGCTGCATCCCTTCACTGGCAAGAGCTCAGTGCTGCCGCAGTGTTAAAACATTCATTCTGTTTAGGGTTTGATGTGGCAAAAGAAGCTGCATTGTCTTTGAACCTTAGCGCAGCTCTGCTAAGGGAAGAAACGCAAGATAAAATTTGGACTGTATGGTCTCTACTACACCCTTCTCAAAAAGGTTCTAAAGAATGATTTACTTTATAAAATGCACACTGTACTGTTTGAAGATAACTGTATTTGTGGACATTAAAAGAGTATGGGGTGGAGTGGTGGCACTGTGGCTAAGGGTCTGCACCTGTGGCTGGAAGGTTGCCGGTTCAAATCCTGCAGCCGACAGAGGAATCCTACTCCGTTGGGCCCCTGAACAAGGCCCTTAACCCCAGCTGTTCCAGGGGTGCTGTATAAATGGCTGACCCTGTGCTCTGACCCCAAGCTTCTCTCCCTTTTTGTGTGTCTCATGGAGAGCAAGCTGGGGTCTGTGAAAAGACAAATTCCTAATGCAAGAAATTGTATATGGCTAATAAAGTGATCTTATCTTATCTTATTATGGACTCTTGTTATTCTTGACTTGATTTAAGAAGGCTCTCTCCCCCTTTCATCAGATTTCCCAGTGTGTTTCCCAGTGTAACGTAACACAGTGCTTTCTGACTGTGACTGAGATTCCACCAGCCTGCAGGAGTCAAGGCTGGCAAAATGGAGAATCCTAGCAGCTCCTAGTTTCCAGGAGGTGGCAGGATGTCTGTGAAGCTCATGTCAGGCTCTGTGGAGTTGACGCTGTCCAGAGGAGAATGGATCGATGAACTGGTTGATTGGAAGGCCATGTCTGTCCTTCCATATTATTGATCCTCTATACAGGAGCTGTTACTGTGAACTCAGCAGTACAGAAGCATTTGATGATCCCCAATGCAGTGGATATGTAAAATTTAGACTGAAAGCACTTGAGGTGTTGAAGAGCAGGTAGGGCTCTGATCCTGTAATCGGAAGATTGTGGGTTCGAATCCCAGTTTAGGGCACTGCTGTTGTGTGACCTCTGAGAAATGAAGGATAATGGATTTAATCTGATGTGTTATTGAGCTGTTGTTTTCCCTTTCAGAGGTGGCCAAAATCTTGCCTGATTCCTTTAAAAGGAACTTCAAAGACCCCTGGAGACGGCCACACATGCTTATGAAAGAGGAGAAGCCCAGGTAGGCCCTCCGTTGAGTTGACTCTCTTGGAATAGCTCACAGGTCAAACTCCTGGACAGAGAGGACATATTAACGTTTGGGACAGTTATAAGCAGCTTTTTCATTATTTTTAACTAAGTGTCAGAAACTATTTTTCTGCAGTATTTAAAATGTTACAGAACAATGCTAGTAACCATTTTTTATTTAAAAAATGAAAACTGGATGGGATTTTAAAGAATGCCATATATTTCTGCAATAGTGCTTTACCATAATACAGGAAAGGTCAAACTGTTGGTACAACCTTATTTCTTTTCTTTAGAGATTTGAGGGAACAAGTAGAGGTTAATTCTACACTGAAATGCATACAAAAAAACATCATATTTGGGCTTTGGATCCTCCTGTTCATTTGTGCTTTTCTTTTTTTCCTATTGTTCAGTGTGGAAATAGCCTCTACATGTTCTTCTATTCCAATAGTTTAGTAACTGAAGGTAATCTATTGTCTGTCTGTCTCTACCTGTCATATTGAATATTTGACATTGACCAAGAAGGAGTGTGTGAACAATTGCACACCTTAAGCAAAAACGTGAAAAAGTATACAAAGGTTGTGTTGTTTAAAAATATAGTGTCTGAGAAGTTGTTGTTGTCAGATCACCCTGTTGAGGATTTTTCAGAATATTTGGCAAGTTTTTACAGTTTTCTTGCCTAACCATTAGATGTTATTTTCAGCACTTCGACTGTACTCTCCATCTCATTTCAGTTTGGTTTTCCATAATATTGCACCACTAGTGTGGTCACAAACAAAACAGAAAAACCACAAATGACTGCAGGAAAACAATTTTATTACTTCATTATGAATACTTCTGTGTGTATCCTGCCTTGAGCCCGTTGCTTGCTGGGATAGGCTCCGACTCCAGCCATTCTCCTCAGCTGTGAGCTCTGTTAGGGTTGTAGAAGGTGCTGAGGCATTCCCTTTCAGTGATTATCACAGGATAATTTCATCACTATAGAGAAGAACACAGACAGAGCTGTCCAATACCATAACCCATACCTTCACCATCGGGAATGAGATGACGAGAGTCACTGCAGGTCAGAGCCCATGGCAGAGTCACTGACAACACGTAGCTAAAATCTTGTCTTGGGGAGGTGGGAGAAATCAGAGCACCACCATGAAAACTGATCTAAACTCGGAGAGACCATGCAGACTCCACCCAGACAGACACAGAGGTACCTCAAGACCTTAGCTGCAATGCTAAATCCCCTGCCACACCTGAACCATAATTCCAAAAACACAAATTCAAGTTCTTCTTCCTTGATTTATGATGTTTTTACATTTGGATCTTTTTAGAAAATCTGGTATAATTAATTATGAACCGCTGGATAATATATATTTGTAAATATTTCCTGAGTGGAAATGTTCGTCTTGTTGGGTTCCAGCTTTGATTTCCATGGGCCATTTCATCCTAGATCCTTCGCGATCCTGCTGTGTATTTAAAAATCAAATACTGTTCACTCAAACCGGAGGTCTTGAATGATTTCTAAAGCATAATTTAATTAAGAACATCACATTCTAATTTCACTCTGGGTGCAGCAGACTTATTTGTGCATTTGGAGGTATTGTATATTGTTCATGGTGGCTTAATCAAATTTAACTGGATGTCATATAAAAGCAATTTGTCAGCCTGTACTGGCTTCTTGCATCTGTTTCTATATATTTTTCCAGAGCTAAGAAATTAAGAAGGAAACCTAGTAATGCAAAATAAAGCCTCCAAATACAATAGGATATTCAAACTTCCATATACAGTATGTAAAATACACCAACAGTAGAAACGTAGTAAATGTCTGCTACTGCTCTTTAAAACCGCAAATCATTACATTTCCAAGGAAAACAGTGCTCACTCTTGAACATAAGATTTATGCTCGTGAAAGTCTTGCATAATGTGCTATTGACTAAAAAAAAAAATAGCCTGAAAAAATATTTGATGATCGGATTGCGTACCATTACAATAGAAAAATCAGTCAGCCCTAAAATTAGGTATAGACCCTCAGTCAAGTTATTGTAATAGTTACACTTTTAGTAAGGCATTGAGATTAGTGTTGTCTTAACAATGGGCTTCTTTCTACAGATAAGGTTTCCTCTTCATGATTATTCTCATCTTTAAAAATTCTTCTGATTCCTTTGATACTAAATATTATTAGAAAGACGTTGTGTATCTTCTCCTGAGACATAGTTATAAAATGATACAGAACATATATTGGATCGTTGCTCTCAGTATTAGAGTTTTGTAGTCTCTGCCAAGAAGTTGCAAAATAATTTCCTTTTGTTCAATTTGTCTTTAGTATGCCATCATCAACTGGAGTCCTGTGGGTTTTCTGTCATCTTCTGCTGTGCAAATGGCTGGTGTGTGATAAGCTACTCAAAGCTCTCTTTATTTTTTACTGCGGGGAATAAGAGGCAGAGACATTTACTGTAGGGTGCTGTAACATTCCTTATCAGCATCACATTGTTGTATCTGAAACATGGTTGAAAAGTGCAACAGCCTTCTTACTGCAAAGATGAAAAATGAACAAGTAAAAAATACATGCACTACAGTTCCCCCAAAAAACATAAAATGTCTTGGTTTGAAGGCTTTTCTTTTGTCAAATCAAAATGTGCACCACACTAGTTTGCCAGTGCATGGTCCTACCTTAGATTGAAATGGGTTTTATTGGTAAAGAATTTAATTACATTCCGCCTGAGGAGGCAGATTATAATTAAAAAATAAGAAAGGATACAAAGCTGAGAATTAGACATTCCAGACCTGACCCTGAGATCAAATTACTTTTCTCAGATAAATTGGCCAAACAACCTTTTGTGAAGGACCTATGTTTCTCACACTGTAAAAAATTAAATGACCTTGTATGGGACTTAACATTTAACAAGTCTCGACAGCATGGGAGGACAAGGGAGCAGAGCTCCTTATTTCCAATTACTGAGTTGGCACTGGCTATGCATGTTGCCTTAGCTGCCAGTTCTTCACTTGTTCACAATGAACATTTCAAACCCAGGTGTTTTCGGTTCACTTTCTCAGGTGGTGGTGTCAAACATATTGCACGTGAGCTGCTGGAAAGGCGTTTATAGTTTTGAAAAATAATGCTGAAGTTGTGCAACACAGAACTGGACCTGGTTTGTCATTGAAGTAAATCTGTTTACTTCTTCTTAAGCTGCAGGTGTACAGGGGGTGGTGTTTTACTGAAGAAAAAAAAGTACGGTCTTGTGTTTTCTCTTTGAAGGCGTGCAAACGAGCAAAAATATTTTTCATGTCAGACAGAACCTTCTTAGTTATCCTTGCAAAAATAACCTTGAGGTCTCTATGGAACCCAGTACCTCTAGAGAACTGGGACATTTCTCCAATACACCTGTGGGCCATTAACCAGCTGTTGTTGTAAAGGTATACATTAACTTGAATTAAATGTCCTCGTGCCAAGGGTGTTGCTGTTAAAATCTCTTGGAAATGTATTCACCAAACTGAAGGCCCAAAGGACTATAACCGACCATTCCTAAAATAAAAGTCTTTCATCCAAGGAAATGTCTAATCCAAGCACGTTTTCAGGTTACTATGTATTTGAGTTGTGTGACGAACAAAAGGATGATGAAGTATGTCCTTGCCCAGACAGGATGGGTGTAGTCACACCTTTCCATTCTGGTCTTTTTTTAAGCCATTTTGTTTATTTTTATACCCTTAGCGAACATCTATTAATAAGCTGGCTCCAAATACAAACCTCTTGTTCTCGAGATTTATTTAAAACTGTTCGTTGCTAGAGACTTCCTGGTCGATAACGCGTGACCCACAAAAACCTTGACAAATAAAAAAGACAAGTCTAATAGGTTATATTTATTATCTTCTATGGTTCTTGGATTGGATCTTCTCCACGGGAAAAAAAGTGACTACATTTTTCCCACCTGCAACAAATTAAATTTGTGCCCCAATTGACTTTTAGGAACCTTTGCTATTTTAAAGGCACTGAATGACCTGTTATCTTCCAGAACCCTTGTGAATTTGCCACGGCTTGCTTTCTCAGACAGGCGTATCTCTGGCTCCAGTTTCCTCCTGTGGCTCAGACTGGCAGTGGGTGGTGTTCTTGCCTGGGAGGGCAATGTGGCCTTTTGAAAGAACACAGCACTGCAAAGGAGAACCCACACCAGCATTTCTCGGGCTGTTATCCAAATCTGTAGAACAGCAACACTCTCTCATTTTTCTGTTAAGATTTGGGACTTCAAAGATTCTAATTTATCTAAACGAAGGGAGAAGAAAACAATCTTTAAAAGCTTCTAAACTAAGATTGAAAGGAAGGTTTTTTTCGACTATTTTCTTAAAGCTAGATTGAGGTTTCTAATGATACGAGCCACGTCAAAAGAAGTGAAAATAGTCAACCTCTGAGAATTCAGTGAGAGTCAAGCTTTGGCCTTCACTCTGTGTCACGCAGTGTATAGGTCTTACAGCACAGGCCCTGCTGTTGTAGGACCAACGCAATAAAGTGAAGCAAACAAGCTACAGGGCAGTAAAAGGAGGTGTAAAATAGGGCTTAACAGAAAACAAGAAGAAACTGAAAGCATTGTTCAATTGCTTCTCATGGTCCAATAAATGCTGTTAATTTGGCTTATGCTTTTATCCAGCTGACTTGCATTTGCACCCACGAATACAGGTGGGATATTTTAGGGAAACAATTTGGGTGCGGTAACTCTCTCAAGGTTTTAACAGCAGTGTTTTAACCTGGGTTTTGAACCCACAACCTTCCAGGTCTGAGTCCAGAACCCCTGGCCACTGCCCCACCCTGCTACCTGCAGTGGGCTCTAAAATGACTGAGGAAGAGATGCAGTGCAGTAAAGATCTAGAGGACAGTAGCCTTGTACATTCTTTCCTCAGATGATAAAACTTTTGTTTTATATGATTTCAATGAGATGAGGGGCAATCTGAATACGTATAGCAGAAAGTCCAGTGCATTGAAATTATAGACCTTTGGTAATATATAGTACTGAAAAGGTATCCATGCACTATGGTCTGCTCTTTCCCACCCTGGTCCTGAAAACAAGCATTTTCCTCCCAGAGGAAGACTCTCAGCTTGCCACCTTATAGCACTGCTCGGGAAAGCAAAAGGCTTATTAAGACAGGCGCCCCATGGCGACTCCAGCAGTTTACAGTGAGGTTAGCTGACTTTCACTCCTCCAGTAAACAAAAACGACAGTGGAGAACTTACAAACAGGACATAAATCCTCCCTTACAAATCTTACAGATGTAACTTCGTTGCCAAAACTCAGGATTGACGGTGTAATGCCATATTTTGGATTTAAGAGAGCATATTTTTGGTTTCTTTTTACCAACTACTTAGAAATGTGGTTCTTTCAACTTTATGCGGTTTGCAAACCGAGGGAATTGTTTGATTAAACCATAAGTAATGCAGTTTCCCACTCGGTAAAATATGGAGCACAGCCCATTTGTCTTCCTGCGGTTTTAGAGGAGATCAGTGACTTATGTACAGAAATCTCTAACAGAGAAGATGCCTTTTTTCTAACCGGAACTAAATTTGAATTTGCTCACCTTTACCAATAAATTTCAGCGTTTTAAGTAAAAAGCCATGTTTCAGTATGACTGTGCCTAAAATCTAGTACACTATTGAACATAAGGTGCAAAAATAGTAGAAATCGATGCATTACTTCCTCTTTCTTTTCTGCACTTAAGCCTGTGTGTTTTTATACTCTCCTCTAAAACATAAAATGATCTTTGATGTCATTGTATTCATAGTGCTTTAACATGCAGCTGCCTGCTTTTCAACTCCAGCAATTCTTTTGACAATTTCCTTTGTGCTAAACTTCACAAATGTTTAGGATATTGCATGATCCGGCCCAAATGAAATCAAAATAAAGCTTCTGTAACTCCGACCTGGAAAAATGTTTATATAGATTCCATAAGAATTTATCTGGAAGGGTAAAGAGGAATTCCTTCAGGAGTAAGGGAAAGATGGACAGAAGTGTTGGCCCATCAGGTGTGGAGAGCAGTCCTCCATCGCTGTCAGTCCTTACTGTCAGTTTACACGGGACAGGATCAAACTCTTGTGGCCGTAATTAATTACCTCTAACAAAAACAACTCCAGGAAATCTAGTGTAAGGAATTCTGACGACTGCGATATCTTAGAATCCCTGGAATCGCTGGAGGCAGATGTAGAGGGCAAACGAGATGCGATCAGTGGATGAAAACAGCCTTTTGCAGTTCAAGTTCTAGAGACCAAGTTTGCTGCAGGAAGACAAACTGAAGTCGTGAGGCACGACAGGGGTTTTAATCCAGGACAGCATGAAGTGAGAAGGAAGAGCGCTTGATAAAGACCAGACAAACGAGTCGGCAGTTTATAGATCAGAATTACTTCTGAGCTATAATTAATGTGAATGGGCAGACCCCCTTCACATTAACAACAAGGGAATAATTCGTATTAAGGGAATTGAACTCCTTGGACTGCCTCGCTCTGTGTTTGCCCTTTGTCTCCATTCCAGCTTATTCTAAGTTTAGCAGTAAGATCATTATTAAAGCCAGATGTATTCTTTTTTTACCCAATTCACTAAGAAGACTTGACAAGCAGAAGGAGGCCTAATGTCCGTTTAAAATCACGTTTTCTGCGGGTTGAGAGCTGTCCTGCTTCTGAGTCTGCGTGGCAGTATTCCCGGGTTTATAACGTCATTCTGCTCTGCCGCCCAGCTACTGCGTGTACCTGCGAGTGAAGCAGGCTAGCCAGCCGTGTCGTCTGGGCTTCTGGTCCACCCAGCTGGTGAGGGAGCGAGCCGTCTGCGTGGAGTGTCAAGGAGACGCGATGGGCAGCAGGGGGCGCTGTGATGGAGAGGGCCTGCAAGGAACGAGGTAAGGAGTCTTACGGTAACGCTCACGGACGTACAGGTGCTTCTCTCTTAACTTGAGCTGAAATTAACCTGGGGTAACCATCTGGGTGTCCCAAACCCACCATTGGCCCTGGTGATACAGAGACACTTCTGTTTTATTTTTAAGTGTCGTTCGTTGTTCTTTTTCGTGGAGGGGCGATGCGTTTTCCTGCCGAACATCTCGGAAATCACCCGGAGTTTGAACCGCTCGCTGGATCGGTTTTCATGCGCGTCCATTTACATTGTGCAATACCGGCACCTGCTGTAGCAGCAGTCACTGCCAGCTGGAGCTGTGCGCGAAGTGTTCGTGACCGTGTCCAATCCTGTAGGAACGCGCACGGACTTGCTTTCGGTGGAGTTCAGTCTTAATGAAATGGTACAATGTGTACCTACTGTGAAGGCAGTCATTACAGCCATGAGGGCTCTCCCACGACAAGAACATGCCGTGCAATCGATTCCACTGAACTGAAAGTTCATTTAGGATAATGCAGGTATGACAAATGTGCTGTCCCGTGATGATCACACAAAGTCCGGGATAATGAAGTCCCTAATAATTACGAGATAACACATGGAATATTTTATTTCATAGGTTGACAGCCATGTTCCCGTAATTACAAGCGCTGACAGAATATTAACATTGGTGTGTTTGAAGCAGCCGTGGAGAAATGGTTTGACCTCGGGATTCCACCCGTGTACGAATCCCACATGCAGCCCGGGAAAAGCCCTTGTTTCACCGTCTTCTTTCTTGCTGTTATGTTGCAGGACTTTTTGGACTGCAGCGTCGGTGCCGGGGTGCCAGGGGTCGTGGGTCCGCGAGTCCTCCGCCGAGGAGTGCAGGTGTCCGGCGCGTTCCTTCATTTTCGTGTAGGCGGCGCGACAGGCGCCCACGAACACGCGGGGAACTTTTCGGGGGGGGACAAAAACCTGCCAGCCACCGTGGAATCGTCACAGCCTGATGACGTAGGAACGAGGATCTGCCTTCTTGTTAGACGTCTTTTGATACACCTCATGTAATAAATCTTAATTTTTACGCGCACGAAAACCGTATATAACGCCACATAAATGTGTACCTTTTACTTCAAAGCACAAAAAATATCTGTAAGCCTTTTTACCTCTGAAACTTTGCTATCTACCTCCATAAATGCAGCTGCATTTAAATATATAAATATATTATTTTGCTGTATAAATGTTCTACTCTACTTGTTATTACAATTTAGTATGAGAGCTGCTCAAGAGCAGCTCATTTAATCCCACAGCTACTGTGTTCTAATCCTTTCTGCACTTAGAGCACAGCTGAGTCAAACGGAAGTCTGTGCACTAGGGTTTCGGATAAAGGAGCTCATGCAATATCTGAATTTGGGCATATATTCAGATGTTTTTCAAGCACAACAAGGCCATCAATCCTCCAAGCTCTTATTCTGGGAGGTATTTCTTGAGAAATTTAAAATAATGTGTGTATCATAGTTGTACAACATTGGATCACAAACCTCTTTGATAGGGTCCTTTGATATCTCTGTGGTGATCTTTCTTTCCCATATTACTTCATTGTCAGGAGACCACATGCTAGGATTCTTTATGGAGGGGGAATTCAAGACACTAGGGGCCGTAGTTCACTTATTGAAAGCCTGTCCATATTTTGTACAAACACCTTTAGTCACAGGAGAGAATTTTAAGGAAGAAGCCTGTGTTGAGGTAAATGTCTGCAGAACTGACACAGTATGTTAAGGATTCTGTTTGTTTTCATACTACTAATTCAAATTATTTCAGTGAAATACTGGAAACATTTAACTGAAACACTGTTTTCTATTAATTAGGCTAAAAAATCTGTACCATTGAAGTAGACCTCAATGTTTGTTTTTTCTAAAGTATTTCTCCATTTGCTGAGGTGACTAACCTTTGGTGTTTAATTGTCTTTCCCAGTTTTTATCCTTACTATTCTTATCATTGTCATTAATGTTTATCATTTCCGTGATATCTTATCTGTGTTTTTTTTAAATGATTGAAGTTTAAAAACATACTTTCACCAATGTTTTTAATTGCAGTGAGAAATTTGCTTACACAGACGATTATAACGACCAAAGAAATCCTTTCAAAGCTCAGGGCTTTCGGAAATAAAAGTGGGTCTCAGCTCAGTATAAGTTTCGGTGTTACCTTGTAGTCGCTGGTGTGCTCCAAAAGAGTTCACACAGATGTTTGGTAAAATCTGTTAGGAGAGAGGAATTGAACTAAAAATGCTTTGAAAATGACTTTTTCATTCAGATTGAATTTATTTTTTGCAACGAAATCCAAGTGTCTGAGCAAGGTTTAGACACATGAAGAAATTAAATTGGATCAAGAGATTCTTGACTTTGCCCAGTGAACGCAGGGGTTGTCGATTTAGAATATGATAGCATAGAAGTGTACAAAGTATCTATCAGGGAAGTAATTATTAAATATAGTGATGAAGAAAAGCCATGGTCTCCTCAGTGTGATATATTTGAATACACAACATTGTGTATGACAAAATATACTGTACACCACAAGTAATTTAAGTCATTGACAAAATGCTATCACAAGAGAAATACCAATCCAAAACAGCTGATATAGCTCTTTTAAGTAGGAAAAGAGTTGTGTTCTGCTTCTGGTCAATTTAAGGTCCTTCTACTGAGTATCATTGGGATTACAGTAATTTATGTACTTTTACTGTAAGGGAACAAAATAATGCATAACTTATTTTTAATGACAGAAAGTAGAGGAGTCCTGCAGGATCTTGTTTTTTTTTTTTGTTTTGAAGCCCAGTTTCTCCTCTGTGGTCCCATCCTAGGCATCTCATTTCAGATAAATCAGCATGGCCTACATGGAACACAATAGCCTCCAAAGTGATTCATATCCTTGCTGGACTGCTACTCAAAGCTGGTTCAACATTTGCTGTCACAGTCTGTCAAGGGAATAGATTTGGAGGGAACTGTATGTGTAAAATGGAATGCTATTCAAAACGATTTTTTATCTTATTGTTTTATAACCTTCCAACACTGTATGTATACTGTATATAAAACATATATACTACCAAAGTTGTAACTTTGATGTTTATTTGTCTAGACGTCAAACCCACCATTTTTGTATTTTCAAATAGCACTAGAGCTCCTATAATAAATTGTGGATTTTTAATTTTTTGTTTTGTTTCATAAAAACAGATTATAAACTGTAAAACTGTGTGTTTTAACTCAGGTTTTTGAAAAAAAAAAGTAAATCCAAGGGCTATTACAACTTATAACGTCTTAAGCTCAGCTGTGACGAGGCTGAAGTTCAGCTCACAGGTGTCCAAAATAAGCTTCTCAAAGTTGGTGACTTCAGTGTTATACCTGTTGTTGAAGTTAGAAACATTTGCATTTCTCTTGATCCTGTGTTGTCATTTGCGGCTCATGTGAGGAAACGCCCAAGTGCTTCTTTCTGACATCTGTTGGACCCAGGTTCAGTCTGTCTTAGGCTGAAATAGGGATACATGCCTTTTATTTCCTCATGCTTAGACCTAGTTAAGAGCTTCATGTCTTACTTGCTGGGGTATCTTCTACATTTGAATGGGCTCCAGTATGTCCAGACTCCTGCAGCTCTTCACCAGCACGTTTCTCCCACTCTCTGTATGCTGCACTGGCTTCCTGTGAGGTTCAAGGTTGGTTTGAGGTTTCTCCTGCTCGAGCTGATGGGCCAGCACCAGATCAGGTTAAGGACATGATGCGTGAGTATGGTCCAGCTCATACTCTGTGATCTGATGACTCTCGCTCCTGCTCCAGCCCAAGCCCGGACTCCACAGTGGGCATCTGTGGGATTCACTGCCCAAATCTATTACACTGGGACTGTCAACGTTTTCTAGCCTCTCCCAAGTGCCCATCTTGTAATGTATAATGTAGTCATACGCATGGTTTTACTGGGACGATTAACTGTATTTTTTACCTTTGTGTTTTGTGTGTGCTGTTGAACAACACTTTACGTTCCTGGAACAGCACTCATAAATAAAATTGTATTCTTATTAACAGATTTAATGAACTGTGACACTCTCAGTTTCAGGATTCCAGAAGGTAGATATACAGTTTATATATATAGTTTAATTTGTTTAGAAAAATTTGAAATAAGAAATGATCATGTTTAAAGCACTAAAGATTGCTATATTCACAGAAATATTCTGTATATTTACATTAACTTGCTCTTGTAGGTTTACAAGTATTTTAGGATTACATCTGGCTTAACCTTATGAAAATATTTGCTTAAAATTGAATGAGTGTGTTTGTAACTTCTTCAGAATCACTTCACTTGTTGTAATTCCCCTTTCATCTTAGGGAATGCTTTGCTTTTTGCTTTCCGATGGTGGTTTGGGACTGAAAATTTTGTAATTGCAGCTTAAGACCAGAGGTATTTTTGGTACATTCTTCACAAAGAATATTTACTTATAACTGTTAGTTAGTGAGATGTTGCTCATCTTCAAGACGACAGGTGCTGTTTAACCCGCCCAGTTTGAATTTGCAGATAAGCACCGCAGGTGAAAAACTTACTATGCTTCTGCCTGTCCAGCAACTCTAAAATCAGGAGCTGAGGAACAACTTGTGTAGAACCGCAAAAGTTGACTTTGTCTGAAAAATGAACTCCTCTGCCTTATCTGTGTATGAGTCTGGGTCTTTGTGTGAATAATGGTATGCTTTTCTGTAACATTCTTCAGACACATACTTAGTCATTAGATTATAAGGAACAAGTAATAGATTTATTCCATGCTGAAAAGAGAAGAAAACAACATTTCGGGCGTGATGCCTTCTTATACTGAGGTCATGCTTGGATTTCTTTCCAAACAAAAAAAGGCAAAAGTTTTAATTGTATTGTCAATTATATTGTAACGCTTACGGCCGACAAGCACTGTGTGTAAGAGCCGGCGTACCAGAGCGGGTGACGTCACCGCCCTTCCCTGTGATAGCAGGACTACAGCTACTGGGCTGTGGAGAGATCTCTCTTTAGCTCACGGGGCTAGGTCGCTGCAGAGAGACGCGGAAGTCCCGGGTTCGAGCCTCCAGTCGGGATGGGGCCGACCAGATGCGGCAAGGGCGCCCGCCTGAGCCCCCGTTGCGTTACAATATTTTTATTTGGTTTTCATGTTGCCTGGGTTTGATGGTTATTATTAATGGAAGCACATATAGTATCATCTTGAGTTGATTTAGTTTCATAATCATTGCTGTCTTAATTCATCTGCTGAGTGGTGAGCAGAGCTGTTGTGTATTGTAAGGTTAGGGCTCTGAACATCTGCTGTTCTGAATGGTTGTGGCGGTAAGTCTTTCTTGTTTTTCTTTCTGGCAGTTGTGTCCCTTCAGTACCATGGGTTATGCCTTTTAAAGGGGAACAGCAAGCCTATTTTTATATTTTGGGGTCAGAAAGGCATTGACGAGTGCATTTCAAACCGCAATAAAAGTAAAGCGAACAGGGTAATTTGTAAAACCTCCAATTTACATGACAAAATAGATAAAAGTTCCAGGTGTGCGCAGTTGCCATATTCTGCGATTCATAACGAGGCAGCAAAACATCCGGTGAGGTGAAGGGACCTTATTACACTGTAAACAAGCAGGCTTGTGAACACATCTTCTAATGCAAGAGAAATATTGCTCTCCACATCAAGAGTATTTTGCCGATAAATGGAACTTACTTGTTGACTCTGGATGCAGATCACTTTGAAAACTTTCTGCTGAAATATCTACCGCACAACCTGTACTTTTTCACTCGTACATTGTGTTACATTAATCATTGCAGTGACTAGTGAGCAGGAAAGGCCACATCGCTATTGGTGTGAATCCGTGCCTGTGGGGAACCAGGGGTTTGTGACAACACGGCGACTTACAGCACTTGAACGACAAGTTCACGATTTTGTGCCGAATTCAAATTGTTTCTAGTCTGTCGCTGAATTTATTTAGTTACCGCGATTAAATAACCGGTCTGTGAAATTGGGAGTGCAGTCGCCCTTTTAAACATGACATGCAGTGGAGGGGGCCGTGAATCCTTTGCTGCAGCGAGATGCACAGGGGCCGCAGAATGAGGGGAACCCACAACCGGTCAAAAGCCCCACCCAAACACATGCACAGTCACTGGACTGCAAAACCCACTTCTCTTCTCGGCTCTACCAAGTCAGCGCAACTCTTTATTCTGCTGCTGGCCAGCAGTGGGGATAGATTTGTGTCAGCCTTCGCCTCTGAACCCAGCTTAACCTTTGTCGGCACTGGGGCGGGTTTGGAAAGAAAGGCAGGAAGGCCCGTCTTTGGCCCCGTGCCTGATCGGCCCTGACAGCAGTCGTTTCTGGGATTAGCCCCTCTGAAAAGCAGGGCATTCCAGTCCGTCACGGCCATTGTCGCAGGCCGAGCACTGTTTGCTTTCATGAAGACAGCTGTTCAAAGCTGCGCTCCACGGGCTCCCATAAACCAACAGCGCGACTTCCGATAACCGCTTGTGCCCGTCTCTCACAGTCGATAAACCGCCAGGCTTTCCATGAGGCCCCCAGGATGCATTGTGCTTTTGGACGATACAGAATTGCATATTAGGGGCAATTGTGACGGGCAATCTGTGTGCGAGTGGGGGGGGAGGGGATCTCGGAGAGTCCCAAGTAGATCATCGATCTCTCACCCTAGATGGGGCACCATCATGGAGCAAAAGGGCTGTGGATGCTTTGGTTGTCGCAAACTGAGTATGTGGCTCAGTGATGAGAAAAACTGCTTGCGTGTGGATTACTGGGATTATTTCCCAGCTCAGGCCGAGTCTTCCTGTGCTGGGGGAGTTGATTTAGTTTGTGTGGGGTGGTAGGCTTTGACTGCTTGTGTATGCTATGCAAGCATGTATGATGTGGGATGGGGGGCCAGGAGTTGTCCCTCAAGGTGCATGATCTCGGTTTTTTTATTGGCAGCTGGAAGATTGTGTGGACTCGGCGATAAATATCCATTCTCCGGGTTTCGGCAGTAGTATGCAATTGTCTCTCCTAGCTATGGATCTGAATGAGTTTGTAAATATTGGGTAAAGGTTAGAAAGAAACAGTGAGACTGGGGTGTTGCTGTCAGGTGAAGTGAGCTGTCGTTCTGGTTACGGGAGGCAGGTCAGGAACAGATGCGGATGAGCTGGCTTTTACTGTCGGAGAGTGGCCTCTGGGAAGTCTCAAGTGAGTGGGGTTATGGGTAGGTTTGCCGTACAAATGTCTGACCTGTTGTTTCCCCCTGCTGACGACCCTCTTGAAACAGCCCAGCAGGCCTGGTATCCTTTCATCCCTGTTTAATTTCACTGTGAGCTTTCAAGGCACATGGGCCTTAAGATCTGCTAGTATTGCAAGTGATAAAAAGCAGAAGGATTATCACGTTCACTGATTTTCTCAGATGTTGCGTTCTGCGATGTCCGATGCAGCTGTTACAGTCCGTTTGCCTGCAGAGGCAATATCTGCTTTTGCATTTGTAACATGGGGTGAGAAAAACGTCCAGCGTAACAGAAATGAAGCCGAAGTGGCTGGACAAGGAAATCCCACCTTCTCCAGTGGCCATCCAAGGCTTGCTGGGTTTAAAGTTTTTTGTAGAATGGTTCCAGGTCATTCCAACAGGCCGATCCCTTGTGATTTTAGGAGTGTTTAATGAGTTGCTGTTGATGAGCAGGGGAGCGGACGTGTAGTTTTGGCAGGTTTGTGTAGAATAATCTGCAGTGCGTAAAATCCCTTTCCAGCTCTGGTCCGCTCTCTCTAATGGTGACCATTAGCTCTTTTCAGGGCTGATGTACAGAATTTTCCAAGCTCTCCAGGATGGCACTTGTGATCTGCTTTAAGTCATTGCAGTAACAAAAATTGACTTCCTCAGCCCCATCCGCCCCATTGTACATTTCTGGTTATCCTTCCTTATTCCAAATCACTCGGAATATTCATTCCCTTTTTCTCTTATCTGTTAAAAAAAAAGAGAAGAAAAGAAAACGTTTTGGCTGAGCTTTCTCTGAAAACAGCTGAAATGTGTTTCTTCTCTTCTCTTTTCAGCATGAAATAAACCTTCACTTGTTCCTAAAGGAGAAGTGCCTTACTGTTGAGCCTGAGGAAGGTTTTTTTGGAGCTCGACATTTGTATTATGTCATATTGCTCCTGCTACTTTTCATTGTCTCTATTGGTAATGATCATATTATGAGGAGTTGTAAAAATGGCGCATTTTTCCTGTCAGCCTGAGCACTGCCGACTTGATTTCTAGTGCTGGTTTAATAACCTCAGTAGAAGGCTTTGGCTCTGTTTTGATTTGAAGCAGATCTTCATTACGACAGTTTTAATTCCACTTGATAGTTTTGGAAAGTCAGCCAACTATGGAAAGATTGATGTGCAGAAAACAATGACAAGGATGTCTTTTTTGCTCATGTGTTAGGATTTTTAGGGTGTAAGACATCCATATATCTTTCAGATATATTGACAATGTACATCTTGGCTTCAATGTTTTTTTTGGCCAAACGTTTAAATGGGAAATGCAACACTATTTTCATATTTCAGCGTTTGAAAGGATCATCATTGACGAGTGTGTTTCAAACACAGTAATTTGTAATGTAAATTGGAGGATTTACAAAATAAATGAAATTTCCAAGTGTGTGCAGTGCCATATTGTGCAATTCAGAATGAGGCAGCAAAGCATTGGCAATGTGTTGCGGCCCTTACACTGTAAACAAGCAGGCTTGTGACTTCATCCTTTTAAATCCAATAGAAGTATAGCTTTAGTTTTTAAGACAGTTTTGCAGATCACGTCACAACCTTATTTGCTCGTAAATCCGATTATATCAGTCATTACAGTGACTAGTGAGCAGGAAGGGCTGCACTATGTCACAATTCGTGGGAACTCGAATGTGAGTTTGAAATAATATGGTGGTTTACAGTCCTCTTGCAAAGTTAACAGATTCGAAATTTGTAATTTTTTCTGTACTGTCACTGAATTTATTTGGTTACTGGAATTTAAGAACTGGTCCTCGAAACTGGGACTCCAGTTCCCCTTAAATATGGAGCATGTACCCTCACAAAACTGTGCTTTGTATGGTTACAATGCTGAAATTATTTTCTCTCTGGAGTCTCAAAAACAGCACAGACAGGTACTGCACTCAAGAATGTAGTAGTTCAGGTGGGGAGCTGCGTCAGCATGCGTAGGCTGTAAAGGAACAAGTAATAGGTTTATTCCATGCTGAAAAGAAAAGAAGGAAAATACATTTCGGCCACGGAGCCTTCTTCAGAATGGAATAAACCTATTACTTGTTCTCTCAAGAATGGCTTGTATCATGTTTGTGTGGGGCTGGATGTATTGGAGACGGGTATGTGATTGTTGCAAGATCCTGGTACTGCCCAAATCTGGTATCCAGTAACCATCCAATCACAGCATACCATCACACGCAGGTCCATTCTCCTCAGCTCTGTCTGTAAGGACCCACACACTGACAGCTACAGATTAGCAGCTGAGGGGTCCTGAACTATTCAATCCCACGTGGGCCTCATCTAAAGATGTGGAATTGGAAAAATAGATTTAGGAGACCACAACCAGCACATATCGGCCATGGTAAGTATTTCTATCAATTTTCTGTATTGCCATGGTCCTTAGCACCTGTTCACCACATGTCAAAAAGTAACTGATGTCAGGAAGCACCTTCCCCTGCTCTGGTCAGTAGTACTTGCGTAGTGATTGGCCATCAATTTGTTAAACGACATTAATTTTCCCCTAAATCAGCGTGATTCTTTAAAAACGCTGCTATCTACCCACCTCCCAGAGGCCTACTGGTGAGATGCACTGGCGTCTCCGAGTCGCCCCTGTGTGCATGTGCTGTGATGGGCTGGCATCCTGTCGGGTGCCATGGGCTTCCCCAGATGGATCCTGGCTTCCTATGCTCTTTACCAGGAAAAGGCTCAGATGCTGGATAACAACATGAAACACAAATCCTGTGGCTACAGATGCACTGTAGTCTAATTATAGGATTGCTTGAACCTGCAGGAAACATCGCTTTCACAGATCCTGAGCAGTACCTCTCCATGCCAGTCTCCTCAAGAGCTCTGTAAACAAAGTCGAAAAGGTTTCTGCCAGCCTTGGCCTCGTCCTTACGTCCTCGTTTAGCCCTAGTCCTTACCACAGCAGGAATATTGTCTGTGACATGTGAACACTTATCTACACAGGGCCATTAGCTCTCAGCTGAGGAACCAGCTGTTGAAGCCCAGCTTCCTCCACTTAAGGGCCTGTCTTTACAGTTAATGAAGGCCTGTTGCTGCTGCTCTTGAAGCAGCTGTACAGTTGTGGAGGTATGATAATGACAGCCACCAATTTGTCTTCTTCAATCCTCCTTTCTGGGACAATCCCATCTGGTTACAAGGAGTAAAAACATGAGAGCAAAGACAAAAACATCCTGGTGGCTGCAGTCACTTGTTTTGAAATAGAAATGCAATCGGCGCTGGATTGCAAAGTTGAACTAAACTTAAGACACTGCAAGACTCTTCAAAGACAAAAATATTTTAATAGTTAAAATATGATTGACAAGTATGATTCCCATTTTTCCCCCATACTTTCATAGGAACACTATATTCGGCTTTGTTCTTTTCAGCTTACAGTAGGTATTTAATTAACAAAGCAGTCGTAAGATTTTCTAGCTCAATGTTCACTGAGGATGTGTTAGTACTGCCACCCAGTGGATATTCTACAAAATGTTTTCCTTTTCACCACAACTGCAAGATCCCTTCACTTTGAACAACTGCTTAGGGTAAAACCAAGACAAACATTAACCCAGCAGACACCAGGTACAAGGCAGGACACTAACTCCTTGACCACCAGGTCATCACTTACATAAATGTCATCTTTTAATGTAACAGAAAAGGGATACCATTTAATTTCAATGTCCCTCATGTTAGGTGAAAATTAGAGCTTTTTGCAATACAAATCCTTACACTTGCTTTTGGAGAATTAGTGTTACAGAACACAGCTTAAAAATATGTAACATATAAAAAAAAAAACAACAGCTTACCTCTTTCAGAACTCATTACTACATTATTGCAACTAGTAATGTATCTAAGGAAATTGTGACCTTTTTCTCAGAGTTTCACAGTTTTGTATGAAATGTCACTATTCTAAAGAGTTAATAAACAATTTATAGACATTGAATGAGGAATTCAGTAAAGGAGTTTAATTGTTTACACTGATTTGTAATGAAATGTCTTATTTCCTTCAGTCTTAAAAATGCACGGTTAAGGAAGAACTAGAATAAACAATCATTTGCTTAAAAAAAACACTGAGATATCCTATTATTACATTAATCCTACACCTCACATAGCACATCATCTCTGAAAATATAAACAAACTATTGACATAAGGCAAAAGCACTGTATATCACATACAACAGTCTAGAGTACTGTATCTCTCCAGAAGGCAGTTTTTGAACATGTAAAGAGGTCACACCTTGAACTAAATCCCCTGTACTGTGTAACTAAGACATCCTAAAACACCTTCATTCTGAAGTGGTGAGAGCTATCCCACCTTTATCATGTCAGGCCAAAGCACCTGTGTTCAGGGCAGGTAGAACATGTTATATATATATATGAATATATCTGAAAGCAGAACAATAGAGGTGGGTTCTTGGAGAACTAGAATCATGTGTTATTTCTTGTGTAAAGGATGTTTGAGCAATGGTATTTCTTCACAACCCGCACTGTGCCAAGAAAAACTTTCTTTTGGCTGTCCCCTCTCATCTTAACTGTAACAGTGGTATACAACACAAGCCTTTACTTCTCAACTGGCCTTTCCTCCAGGCAAGGTCCTGGTGCAATCTCATGATGTATGATCTTTGGATTCTTTCAGAACAGGGGATCCCCATGAAACCAACTTTATTAACCACTCTGGTACAATTCCCCTAATTGTTGCAGGTGTGGAACTTAACAAGCATCTGCAACAGGACAGCACTTCCCTGAGATGGTATTTCTGGAAGTAGGATTCCATGCTCTTACCATGCTCTCTCACCTGCTGATTGGCCTTGGATTACACTAGCCCAGTTTCCATCACAATCGTCAAAACAAAACACATTCATTATCACTGGTGAAACAGAAGGGAGGAGCAGTTTTACCCAGTATGTCTGGCACACATTTGAAGTAAATACCACAGTACAGTGAGGAAACCAGAAAGCCCTGTTCAGTTTCACGAGCAAAGTCTTCCTATTGTCATATTGCCTGAAGTCAATAGAAGGGGGCTGAATCAATTCATGGATTCAAAGCTCAAAAACTATTTTCAGCAATCAGCTTTTATATCACAATTATTGATATACATTTAGAAAACACAACAAAGAGAGACAGGAAGGAGGAAGAAAAGTCAGCAGAAGAGAGAACTCCCGTTTACTGTACAATCCCAGAACTGCACCACCAATGCAGTTAAAGTTTTTTAAGCTGTTTGTTCGTGGTTTGGATCTTGATGTCCATCCCGTCTACTCTGTTGATCAGGCTGTCCAGGGTGACGTCCTGGCTCTCGATCTCGGTCTGCATGCCCAGGCCGAGGTTCTTGAGCCGGGCCAGCCCCAGAGACATTTCATCTGGACGGGGCAGAGGAAGAAAGAGGACAGGACTGAACCTTGTGTCATTGAACTGCTGTATAAATCTATTCGAGCTCTCTCTCACAATTCACAGATCATTCTAATTATTCTGCTATACTGAGCCTGCAGCGCATCGGAAATGAATATTGTAATAAACACCAAAAAAGATTATAATCTACTCCATTTATAGTTGGTTTAGGAAAATGTGTCTATACATGTGGACTCGAGTGGATAACTTGCATTTACCTTTAACTTCTGACTATTCTTATTACATAATGATTATTAGAATGATGCAACTCTAAGGAAAAGTACAGACATGTTAGGAGACCTTACCCAAGTTATTATCCAGCTGTTCATGAGCTGCTCGTAGGTGCTTGTTTTTGGAGTACGCACCATCAGGCTGTGAACTGGAGTACTCTGTTTCAGGCCCTAAAGCTCCAAAACCTACAGAAAAGACATCGTATCACATCAACCCAAAGTAATGATCACACAGAGTCATCTAAAATACATTAGATCATAAAAATTGATAATCAACCACTTCCAAGTCTTTAATTCTATTTTAATGTAACCACTAACCAACTATGGAGTTCAATGAAATGCAATAACATACTAATTAGCGGGAACAGATGTAAGATTGTATTTTTAGGTGTTAAATTGTTCTGAAAAACCACATGCAACCCAGAGGCAAACTTCAAAATGTGCTGAAATCCCAATTCCTAAAATAGAATAATCAATTACCTGATGTGTCCAGCTTTCTTAGGTTTGGATGGCTTGCTTGATAATTCTGTTCTTGCACCTTGCTATGGGCCAAAGCATCTTGCAATCTAGAGAACAATTCGGGTTAACTTCATTCTGTCTTGACTTTTCATACAATACATTGAAAATGTGTTACATTTTATGTTTGTACACTTGATTACAGACTTCGCTACCGATGGAATTACTTGGAACAGAGAAGAGAGAACGTACTTGCTGCTTGGTTTGTACTGCACTGGCTCCTCTGGGGGAGGCTTGGTCTCTGGCTTGGCTTTGAAATAATTGACAATCCCTCCCCACACACTCTTTATGCTGTTGATGTGTCTCTCACTGGTCTTCAGGTCTTGATCCATGTTGTCTAACATTCGCTCAGTCCTCTTCAGGGCCTCACCTTGTCTCACGAGCTCCTGCACACAGATTGAAATGTGCACTTTGGTGAACAAAAATGACAGACTGTAAACATTTACTGCAATTAGCAATCTCATCCAATTCCTGCATGTTATTTGTGTTGATTTAAGTTGCGTTGATTTAGACAGCCCGGGGGTCAGAAAGAACAATGATTTTACGCAATCTCTCCAGCTTGATTGACTTCTTATAGGCTGCAAAAAATATCTTCACACAACTAGGATTACAGGCAACCTTCAAGCACAAGCCAGCCAGCAGCCATATCACCCTACAACTCACAACTGGCAACCCACTGAAGCTCAGCAGGTGTGAGCCTGGTCAGTACCTGGATGGGAGACCTCCTGTGAAAAACCTAAGGCTGCTGCTGGAAGAGGTGTTCAGCATTTACATGTTTCCACTTGGTCAGCTTTTAAGATCACATGGCCTTAAAACCACTTCTAAGCTGACAATACTCAAATCTACATCCATACCAAACCTGACACTGATGTGGCTGTCTTTATTCTCTCTAATTGCATCTCCGACATAAAAACATGGATGACTCAAAATTTCATTCATCCAAACTGTGACAAAACTGAAGTCATGCTTATTGACGCCCCCATCAACTTCGTAAAGCCAATACTGTAACTATCTGTGGATGATACTGTACTTGAACTTCAGTCTAAATTGAAAAACCCGTGGGCGATATTTGATTCAGACTTGACATTTGACCCCCATATGCAATATATTGTCAAAACATCATTCTTTCACCTCAGAAACATCGCCAGACTACATCCTATGTTATCGCTAACTGTGGCTGAAAAGCTGATCAACACTTTTGTCTTCTCCCAAATTTTCTACTGTAACACTCTACTTGCTGGGGTTTCTAAATTCACATTGAACAAACTGCAGTGTGTCCAACATTCAGCAGCCAGAATCCTGACCAGGACATTACTCCTATACTGGAGTCCTCGCACTGGTTTCCTCTCAGGTTTCGTGTCGACTTCAAAGTCCTCATGCTCACCTATAAGGCTCTGCATGGCTTGGCATCTCAGTACCTGTCTGAGCTACTATCACCCTACTACCCATCTCATAACCTTAACTCTTCTAACTCTAGTCTCTCATCTGTCCTCCAAGCCCATCTACACTCTATGGGTAACAAGCCCTTCCCCTGTAATGCCCCAAAGCTCTGGAACTCTCTCCCCAAGGATAGCAGAGAGTCACCTTCTCTAAACTCCTTCAAATCCAGACTCAAAACCGTGTTCTTTAGAAGAGCCTTAACTTAACTGGTTCTTTTACCCCCTCTGCGCCTTCCATCTACTCTCTACTATCATTGTGTATTTGTATTGTGCATTTCTTGCGTACATTTGTTGTTGTTGTTGTTCTGTAAAGCACTTTGAGAAGCCACCTTCAAAGGTGCTAAATAAAATAAAGATGATTATCATCATCATCATCATGTGAAAAGTAACACCACAATGCAGAGCCTTGACAATGTGCTCAAGATTTTCAACTGTGTGTGTGAAACTCAATCTTTAACTGCATTTTAAAGGTTCTAAAATGTTCATTAACTGAAAATGCTGCAAAAGGAGATTACATATTAGAAACAACCTATATAAAGTAGAAGAAATGTTGTCTAGTCTCTTACATATAGACAGTACACAATTAGAACAGTACAATTCTATGAACTTAAGCATTCTATTTCTGACTAAGAGAATAAACAATAAATATAGTTCTCAGCTTCTTTTGAATTACTGAACTTTTGTATTATCGTCTGCAGGGCAAAACAGGTCCTTTTAAGAAAGAAATACAAGCATGTTAGTTGACTGTCACCTTTTTCCAGTATTCCAAGGACAAAGCCAGGAGATTATATTCTGTACCAGTTGTAGCAGGAATCAAGTGGTACAAGGAGCACAAGACAGAAAAAACATTTTTTTAAGATATGAAGATTTACACAACCCCAGAATTAACATCTTGCAAAACACTGACCACTCTGAGGTAAAACAACCTCTCTCTCATTGGTCAGGGAGGAGCTGCTGAATTTCCCTTAGCTCTTTTCTTCCTCAATATCTGAAGAGACCAGAGTCCAGAAGTAAATGAGTGTATTTGTAATGGTTTTAGCATAAGACAGGTTCTGAGTTTCTGTGTACATACCTAGATTGTTTTCACATTAAAACAGATGACAAAGAAGCTATATACTGAGAGATATCCTACTAAACGTTTTTGGATTCCTCAAGCCATGATTTAATGTCATGAATTTAATTTTTTTTAACCCAAAAGTTCCATTTTTTTCTGCTGAGTTTCTACTGTATTTGCCGCAGCAGGAGGGAAGCAACACCTACTCTCTGCTGCAATTCCACCACACAACCAAGACTGATGCTTATCTTGCACTTTTTTTTTTTGCAAACCTAGGTTTTGCAAAAGACTTTAGACTTGAACCCAATAAGGGAAAATAGTGAAAGACTCCACCTGAAAGGTTTCAGTGAAGTACGAGAATAATTAGTTCCATCCAGGTATTTGACAGAATACCACATTTGAATTCCTGAACGTTTTCTTGCATACCAATAGGACGCAAACAGCACTATCCTCGAATACAGGGGTTTGGTATTTGGGAGTCCAGAAGCCAGCAGGTTTTCAGCACCCGTATATGATCATCTATTCACCTGGGTGAGGACAAACTGGTCCAATCTATCCCTTCCCTGCAGCCTTAAGCTACTTTAGCAAACCTGAATGAGGCTCAGAGTTGCTGCTCAGAACTCCCATGTGTCACAAACCTCCAGAAGCAATTTCCAACTGGAATGATGTCCCCTTAAACATTTC